GTTTGGTTAAGTAGAAGGCCAAAGTAAATGAGGGAAACCCTCAATGAAATGGCTTGATATAATAACTACAACAATGGACTCAAACATATCAATGATCATGAAGATAGCACAGGACTGGTCAGTGTTTTATTCTGTTATCCATAAGGTCACCTTGAGTCAGAACTGACTTGACAGCAACTAACAACAATCCTGGCAGCCAAGTCAGTGAAGGAAATGTATTTTTTTAGCTCTCACCTGAGTGGTAAAAGCTACAGCACTTGATCAGAATAGAGACTTTTCTAGAGTCTCTTTAGCTCACTCGGCCTGTGTGTAAGGGACCAAAAATAGAATGATGTAGTTCTCAATAGTACATATGACCAAAAATAGAGATGTTTTACATATTATTCTTTCCCAAATAGATTTTTCCCAGTTCGTTTCTGTTTTTTTATTTCAAATACTGAGTGTACATTCAGCAGTAGTTAACGTTTGCCCTTTCTCGGTGAGTGTATGGTTTAAATAACAATAGGGCATGGTAGCCCCTGGTGCCTTAGGTATTTGTGAGCATAGCTCAGCACTGTCTTCTACAAGTTTACAATTGCATTGAGATCCTGTGCTTTTATCTTAGAAATTAGTATACATTTTGCAATCTAATTCCTAAGTGGTATTATTTGTGGTAATATATGTTTAAAAATATTTATTGTGAAATACAGTTGGCACTTAGAGGAAAATGTACCATGTTTATTCTGGGCGTTGAGTATCTCCAGTAAACTGCTGTGTGCTCTCAGACTTACATGGTCGTTGGTGGAAGAGCCAGATTGTTCCAATGTAAAGGAGTGAATGGAATGCAAAGTTAACTTAGGTAAAGGTTATGGAGAGCAACTTTGCTGTTATCTTCACTTCCTACCGTAAGCCTTGTGTTGCTCAAATTCAACTGTGTGAGTATTCCTATACTAACTGTATTCCCAGGTCCTCTGAGCATGTACAAAAAATTTGAGAGGACTTAGATTTTAAGGATTTCTTATTGAGTGGGTCAAGGGAGGGTAGAGGTTTAAGAGGCAGGAGAAAAGTTAGTACATACGAAACAACTGGGAAAATAGTCTTTTAAAAAAAGCCCTTCATTGCCTAAATTGTCAGTTACAGACCCTGAGCTTGTTGGTGGTGGAGGGAAGTACCTGGTCTTTTTGCAGCCCTGCTCCATACTCTCCACAGCAGTGACAGTGCATGTCTTATTCACCATTTCATTTCTTACAGATTGTTGTACCTGATGCTGGAACACATTTTGAAGAAAAGACTCCAAAAAGTGACTTAAGCCATACTGTCTTACTAGAAAACGAGAAACTCACATTGTTGCCGAGCTCTGAAGATTCCTCTGGTACTGTAAAGTGATGGGTTTTCCTAGTCCTTACCTCGCCACTGCACTTCCCTTCTCGGGTGCAGCAGTTGCTGTGCCACCTTTTTGTCTCTTTGCCCTCCCCTTTACCTCCCTTTGCTCTAACCTGCCAGCACTCAAGTGGCTACTTCTGTTAAGTGACAGGAGTTTTTTAGCTATATTTCTGTGTATCAGTCCTGAGATGATTATATTCATCCCTCAATTTAACAACATTAGAGTACAGAGTAGTCACCTTAAGGTGCTACTCGATATAAAACACTATGTTAAGAAACTGGGGACAATGAAGTATTTAGCTTCTGCTCGCTAACAGGCTCAGCCTGGTGCAGAAAGGAGACGCATAGCTAACCTTCAGATTGTAAGGGTACCCCAATGGTACAAAAATATGCTTGGGAGTCTTAGGAGGTGACAGATTCATGCACACTGAGGAAAGTGCCTGCACAGCTTTCTTGAAAGAGGATGGGGCTTGATGTGGGCCTGATTTAGAAGTGGGACATTTCAGAAAGCAGAACAGCTTAGCA